TGAGTCCAGGTTCCAGATCTGGCACTTGGAACATATTCTGTCCTGGTACAGTGGAGTAGGGCTCAATGAAAGATTCAGTTTCATTTGTAACCGTGATGTTATATGTGTATTCGGAGGCTCGTTTATCAGTGGGCTCCGTCCAGTTAATTGTCAGTCTATCTGTTGTCCTGTTGACCACAGAGAGATGAGAGACAGCAGTTGGATCTGTGAACAGAAAGGCAGAGAGAGGGTTAGTGTGAAAGGCTATTCATGCTGTGTGTTCACAGGCAGTGTGACAAGTGGTGTTTGGCTGTGATTTCACTGTCATCTTGTGATCAGGCATTGAAAGATCCACATACAATCATAGAATCCCCACAAGGTGGAAGCAGGCCATCCGGCCCTTCAAGTCTACACCGGCCCTCCAAAGAGCTTCCCATCCAGACCCATTCCCCCATCCTATTGCTGTAACTCTGCATCTAACCTACACATCCCTGGACACAATGGGCAATTTAGCATGGCCAATCTACCTAACCTGCACATCTTTGGACTGTGGGAGGAAACTGGAGCACCCAGCGGAAACCCACACAGACACAGGGAGAATGTGCAAACTCCACACAGACACAGGGAGAATGTGCAAACTCCACGCAGACAGTTACCTGAGGTTGGAACCAAACCCGGGTCCCTGGCTCCATGGAGCAGCAGTGCTAACCACTGAGCCACCAGGCCACCCTGATGTCTATTACAATCAGTGACAATAACATGATTCGGCCCCTCCCATCTCCATTTTGATTTTGACTCCCCCTTCTCTCCCCTACCTATTCCCACCTCATCTTTAATGGTCTGCATTGCTCTTAACAGGCTTTGCATGTAAATTGATCAATTGGAAAACGTGGATGATTTGCTGATGATGGTTAATAGATGAAAAAGAACATGTGATTTGGTGTTAGGAATTACACAGTTGCATGAAACAGTCTTTCAAGATATGAAAAATAGAGCAAAGGAGTAGGAAAAGGAAAAAAAATACTAACATGGTACAAGCTCTTGTGGTACAGTGGCAGTGTCCCTAACTCTGAATCAGGAAGCCTGGCTCAAGTCCCACCTGCCCCCTGAAGTGTGTAATAACATCTCAGAACAGGTTCATTTGGATAATATCTACCCTGGGGAATTTGAGGGCTCTTACAGTGCAGTGGAAGTGTCCCTACCTCTAAGCCAGGAGGTCTGGATCACATCTCAACTATTTTTTTTATTCATTAATGGGATGAGGACATCGCTGGCTAGGCAGCATTCATTGCCTAGCCCTAACTGCCCAGAGTCAATCACATTGTTGTGGATGTGGAGTCACATATAGGCCCAGACCAGGTAAGGATGGCAGTTTCCTTCCCTAAAGGACATTAGTGAACCAGATGGGTTTTTCCCCAACAATTGACAATGGATTCATGGTCATCATTAGATTGTTAATTCCAGATATTTTATTGAATTCAAATTCCACCATCTACCATGGCAGGATTTGAACCCAGGTCCCCAGAACATTGTCTGGGTCTCTGGATCAACAGTCCAGCAATAATACCACGAGACCATTGCCTGCTCCTGGACATATCCCTCCAAACCTTTCCTATTCATGTACTTATTAAAATGTCTTTTAAACTTTGAAAGAAATAAAAAGAATAAAAATCTTATATTAGTGAAACATAATAACTAATTTTTTTATTCATTCATGGGATGTGAGCATCTTTGGCCAGGCCAGCATTAATTGCCCATCCCTAACAGCCCAGAGGGCAGTTTGAGAGTCAACCACGTTGCTGTGGGTCCGGAGTCACATGTCGGGCAGACCAGGTAAGGATGGCAGTTTCCTTCCTTAAAGGACGTGAGACAACCAGAGGGTTTTTCTGATAGTCAGCAATGGATTCATTGTCTTCATGAGACTCTTAAGTCCAGATTTTTTTAAAACTGGAAATTAATTCAAATTCCACCATCTGCTGTAGCGAGATTGAAACCCGGGTGCCCAGGATATTATCTGGGTGTTTCTGGATTAATAATCTAATGATAATACCACTAGGCCATCATCTCCCCTATTGCTATAATAAGTCTTTAAGTAAACCTACAATCCCAGGAGTTGCTGAAGATCAATTCCTTAACAATGGATTCCAGTACCTTTAGACTACACCCCTAGTATAGATTCCCTAACCAGCAAAAACAGTTTCTCTCCACCTACAATATTAGGTTCCCTTAATACCAGCAGCTTTAAAATTTCAATTAAATCACTAACCATTTCATTTTCCAGGAAATACAATCCCTAGGTTGTGTAATCTCTCCTTGCAATTTAAGCCTTTGAGCTGAGGTATCATTCTGCTCGACCCCAGACCAACATCTCCTTCAAATCTGCTGCACTTTGCTACATACAAGGTGCTGGTGAGACCACATGTGGAGTACTGTGAGCAGTTTTAGTCCCCTTAATTAAGGAAAGATATAACTTCCTTGGAAGCAGTTCAGAGAAGGTTCAGCAGGATGATCCTCGGTACGGAGGGATTGTTTTAAGAGCAAAGGCTAAACAGGCTGGGACTCTGCTCATTGGAGTTTAGAAGACTGAGGGGTGATCTCATTGAAGCGTATAGGATTCTTAAGGGGCTTGATAGGGTAATTGTTGACGTTTCCCCTTTTGGGAGAGTCTACAACCAGAGGGCATAATCTCAGAAAGAAGAGGTGCCAATTTAAGACTGAGATGAGGAAGAATTTCTTCTCTCAGTGGGTTGTGAGTCTTTGAAACACCTTGCCACAGAGAACTCTCTGTGGGGGCAGAGTCCTTGTATATATTTAAGGGGAGACAAATACATTCTTAATCAGTTGGGGAATCGAGGGTTACAGGGAAAGGGCAAGAAAGTGGACGTGAGGAATTTTAGGTCAACCATGATCCTATTGAATGGTGGGGCAGGCTCGGGGAACCAAACAGCCTACTCCTGTTCCTGCTCCTTATGGTTTTACAACAATCGCTACAATTCACAATTGATTAATTGACTGTAAGGTGTTTTTAAAAGCCTAAAGAATATGAAATGCTCAGACAGGTAACTTTCTGTCTTTCTTCACACAAAGAGCAGTAATGTGAGCTCTGTTCTGTCTCTCCTGTCCCTGTCACGCTCAGTCTCCATTCTTTTGCAAAGCCTGTTTGGATTTATGACTTGTCAATGTGCTTTTCTCTTGGGACTGTGTGCATTTCAGTTATCTTAGCATCTGCATCTCTGATGAGGTATATCTCCAGGCACAGCAGATTCAATTAGTGATTGCCCCTATTGTTAAAGGAAGGGTGTGATTGCATTAGCGAGGGTGTAGGGGAGCTTTACCAGGACTGGAGGGTCTGAGTTACAAGGAAAGGTTGGATAGATTGGGGTCATTTTCCTTAGAACTGTGATGATTGAGAGGGGACCTAATGGAAATGAAAAGATCATGAAGGGCTTAGATAGGGTGCACAGGATGCACTTCTTCCATTAGTAGAGGGGCATAGATTTAAGGTAAGAGACACAAGGCTAAGAGGAGAACAGAGTTTATTTTTCACTCAGAGGCTTGTGACAGTCTGGAACTCGTTGCCTGAAAGGGTGGTTTAATCAGAAACTAATATTTAAGCAGTATTTAGATATTCACTTGCATTGCCATAGGCTCCAGAGCTGTGGGCCAAGATCTTTGTTAACTAGCATGGACACGATGGGCCAAATGGCCTCTTTCTGCACTGTAAACATCTACAAGGTACTGGATTAGTCTAATTTTCACAAAACTCTCCACATTCTAACTCTGCACTGTGTAAATGCCAGCACGGACTGCAAAATGCACACACTCTAAACTCTCAGTGGAGTGACTGCCCCTTTAAGCGACAGAGGGTGACTTACCTGTGGTGGCCCTCACAGTCTCAGGGTCACTCTGTATGTTCTCAGGAGTGCATGCCTTCACAGTCAGGTTATATCTGATCCCAGGATTCAAAACTGTCACTTGGAACACATTCTTTTTTGTTGCAATGGAGGAGGAGTTACTGAAAGGTTCAATATCACTGGTAACTGTAATGTTATATGTGTAGTTCGAGGCTCTTATATCAGTGGGCGCTGTCCAGTTTATCGCCAGGGACTGCGTTGTCCTGTTCACCAGAGACAGATTGGTGACCGGAGAAGGATCTGTTAATAGAAAGACAATGTCATAGAGTCATACAGCTCAGAAACAGACCCTTCGGCCCAACCAGTCTGTGCTGAACATAATCCTAAACTAAACTAGTCCCACCTCCCTGCTCCTGGCCCATATCCCTGCAAACTTTTCCTGTTCATGTACTTATCCAAGTGGCTTTTAAACGTTGTAATTGTACCCACATCCACCACTTCCTCTGGAAATTCATTCCACACGCGAACCACCCTCTGTGTAAAAAACTTGCCCCTCATATCTTTTCTAAATCTCTCTTCTTTCACTTTAAAAATGAGCCCCCTGGTGAGTTAATACATATGACGGGGTCTGAAGACCCGAAACGTCAGCTTTCCTGCTCCTCTGATGCTGCCTGGCCTGGTCTGTTCATCCAGCTCCACACTGTGTTGTCTCTGACTCCAGCATCGGCAATTATTGCTATCTCCGAGGGGGTATCCAAACTGTGAACCCACCTAAAAGCCAGAGGGTGGTATCCTTTGCCTCCTGGACATGGCGTTCAGACATGCTGCTCAGTCATTGAAAAGGCCCTGGGCTTGAGAATTTCAGCAGCAAATTCAATCTGAAGTAAGTTCATGCCAGGGATATAAACATGATTAAAAATAGAACAGTATCACAAGGGGTCAAGGCAACCTCTCAGTACAGCAGTGAGGGAGTTCCGCACTGTCGGAGGGTCAGTGCTGAGGGAGTTCCGC